CATCAAGTTCGAAACCGACATCTGTCCTCTTCTTCTCACTACGGAGTTCGCGGTCTAACGTGGCCAATCTGGTGTTCCGGCGGCCATCAATGCTCGCCCCCTGCTGATGTTCATGATGGTATGGCATGTAATAAGAAGCTGCCACTCATCCCTCTGGCTGACTCTACCGCGCACCAATCCCAACTACCCATCTCCACCTACCAGCCCCTCACATGCACGTAAGTACCGAAACAAATACCACCCGACCCTCCCCCGTCAACACACGAGCCCACCCTCTAAGACCTTCCCTCCACAGGGGATTTAAGGGGGGAGGGGGGGGGGGGGGGCATGATACGCCCCCACTGTGAAGGGATGCCCAGCCTATACGTACTGCGGCTCGAATCCCAGGGCTACCCTCAAGAGCGTAGCCCCCCCTGCCCTGCACCCAGCAGGTCATTTGTCCCAGATGTCAGCCCCGGTAGGGGTAATTTGGTGATGTGTGTATGATGATCATAGATGGTGGGTGGGTGTGGAGAACGACAGCTGTGAACCTGGGACTACTCCGAGCGATAGAAAACTCACGCCAGTTCCGCTAGAAGTGTTTGCCCGCGCCTCGCTGGAGTCAGTGTAGGACTATAGCGACCTACGTAGATCTAGCGTTAATGGGACCACCGCGTACTGACAGACGATCTCGATACGATGGAGCATTGTCTTGGAGGCATTAGAGATTAGAGCAATCCCTGTTCCTAAGCGACATAGCCATCTGAGGGTAATGGGCGTGAGAGTGGGCGAGATGGTCAACTAACGAGAGCACACGGCCAGTCCTGGTGTACCTGTGGATTGGCGTGGTGTGCCTGGCGCGAGAGATTGGATGGATGGATGGATTGATGGAGAGATGATGGATGATGATGGATGGAAGTCTACATCTACTGCGCCCCTGTAATAGGCTTTTGTTAACCAGTCAGTGCCAAACAGATCTGCCAGGATATGACTGTTTGTGGTCAGATTCTCGTCATGCCTACGAAATACATATCTCTTTTACTTCCTCGTCACTCTACTGCCATTCCTCCACGTGTGCCATTCTGTCTAGACACACAGTCTAGTTATATACTATTGTAGGGCGCTTTTGTGTGTTATAACAGGTTTGCTCCACGTCTGGGTAGGAGGTCGACCCACAGATAGATGCCCGCATTAACTGACACGTCCCTGGAGCACTTCACTATTACATTTTGAATTCGTTCCATACGTATCTGCCTCTCTCGAATCACGAACACCTCCTTTGTACATCTCCGGCTTCAAATGATGAAATCTGCATCTTTGAAACCTATCTGCGACACGACGGGGTACAATACCCAGGCACTTCACGATATCGGTTTAAGTACCAGCGATAAGTAAATGAACAAACTTAATGTTTTACAACTTCCATAAGTTAACGTTTGATGTATGAAGGGTCAAGAACAATAGACCGCCGAACATCAGACTCTATGAGGTTTCGGAGTCTGGCCGGTAAAGGATGGGCTGCCGGTGTTGTGTCATATTTAAAAAGGGAGTGTGGCTGTGTGGCTTCATGAGTGCTTGTAGGCTTCCGAAACTGATAAGCCAGCTACACTGGAGCTCTCACCGCGGGCGGACTCTGCAGTGGCGTGGGCAGACAGGCCCAGAAGTGAACACGTTGCTGAGGGAGCCTGTGTAGATAGTGTGTGTGTACGTGTGATGATCTCATCAAGGTAGCAGCCTAGTTGGGGGTGGAGGGCGAGGGGGGTAGGACACAGGGCGGTCTGGGCGCGATGGGCCTTGGAGATGAGTATAACGATGCAGTGTAAAACACAACGCTGAGATGAGCATGGGAATTCGCAAATGCACTCCACATCCCGTTGCACATCCAGTGGCGTGACCGTACAGACAGGACGGTGCTCTAATGGCCGATTACTTTGTGTCATATTAGACATGTAAAGTGATACAGATAACTTTGTAGCTAAGTCACATAGCATGAGGCCACTGTATACTCACAACTCAAATGGTAAAAAGCCCTTTTTACATGTCCAAAGTCTCTAGGTCAGGCAAGGTCGTAGCTCTGTTAATGACATAAATCAGATCATCTGTTATATCTGCATGTAGAGCCTAATTATACGTGTGGAAACCACAGTAAACACAGATCCTGCTAGTGCTAGCTGTGCCGCCCGGACTTTCATCCTCCCAGCACCATAACGCAATCCCGCTCAACAAACATTGACACAATCAAAGTCTTTTTACTGTTCCGGGTATACAGTGGGCCATCCATCTGCTCGATCTGTCAATCTTTTTTGTACATTGTAAAGCACAACGGAGCTTTGTAACGCTCTAATCATGCGGATCGCTACCTTTTGTTTCGCTCAGTTATCATTCATCCCACTAACTGATTACTGAATTATCCACATACTAAGCGGGAGGGGTATGAGGTTATCACACCCTCTGTAATCATACACTTCCATCTGGCTATGCTGGTGTGAAACAGGCATCTACAAAATGTAGGAGAAACACTGACAATCGCAAACTGTAAAGGCTTTTTAATAGACAATTCTACACATCATAAAGAAGGTAATTATGCGAACTTTATAAGACTATGCGTTCTGTACAACCATATTTTGGTTGGCACCTGGTGGAGGCTCAAAGAGCAGTACATCCTCTGAAACCTGCAGTTTTTGAGTTAGTTGTACGTTAAATACTATGAGTGATCCACCCCTCATTGTCCCTCATCCTATCACCTCCCGATCTCCAACCATGCTCTGTGGTTTTGACGATGGAAGACTGAAGGGTGTGGTTTGGTTGGTGCTCAATCATGCTAAAGACCCTTTGTATCCCCTCTTAGTAGGTCTGTGACTATAGTGTGTAAGCTCAGCTCGGATGCGTTGTTGCCGAGCCTCTTCCCCTGTATGTGACAAATGAAAAAACTGCAAAAAAATACGTTTTGTGGTGCAGTCTTCCCCGTAGCGTGAGCTAAAAGCTTTTTTGTGTGCCAGCCCCCTGTAGTCTTGGAGCTGCAGAGCTTTGTTCGTAGCTGTTGTGTAGGCTTATGACTGTTACCCAGATCCCCATGGTATGCCCTTCGAGCAATCTGGGTCCTTACATGGTAGAATGTCCTTACTATAATTTTGTTTCATTCCCTACTGTTTGCCTAACTGTGGCTCCCTGCTCGTGGTCACCAAAATGTTATTGCTTCTCTATACGAACTTCTTAGATCTAGTTCTGGCACTCTGGCCATTGCTTATCGTGTTGTTCCGCCTGAGCTAACTGTCACGTTGAGCCTGATCTCGCATTGAACTCCAGACACCTGTGGTTAGGACCTGCATGACCAAGTTTACCTCCAAATCGTCACTCGGTCCCAGAGAGGTCATTTACCGTTACTGTTGTAAAGATTGAGGACCTTACAACTTCTATAAAGTAACTCACTGTAATTATAGCTCGAGGCTGCTAGAGAAAGCCACTTTACCTTGCAAGAGTACTGAATTCGCCTGTTATTGCGCAGTCATCAACCTGTTTTGGTCACGTATAACATACTAATATGAGACTCCTTCCGGCTCCTGACTTTAATAGCCAATATTGGACCCGCTTGCCTTGTGAACTGATTGACAACTGTGGTGATGGAGTCCCTTATTCAGTTTGTGAGCCGAGGGTTTACGCGTGAAGAGAGGTTGACATGAAGGGTTAATTTGTTCCTGTGACCTAGGCAGACCACAACAAACACACGATGTACGGTCCTCTTGCTTGGTTTGAGTTATCGTGGAGGCCCATTTGGGTTTATATCTTCTTTCAGCACTCCATGCAACTTTGGATACTCACCATCGCCAACACAGCAGGTTAATGGGGACTTGTATTTCCCCCTCACCTTCCAAACGTGTCCAGGCCTCCCTCTGTTTATCTATTTTAGAGTGCACTAGTTAGTCGCTCTTGTTGTGTCCAGTCTTACTACGCCTGGTTACCTATTAGGCCTTGGTCAAAGCGAGTATGCCCTACAATTATTGGACCGCGCTTTAATATTGATCGTCAGTGAAGTAAGTAGATTCATGGTCTATAATGTCTGTTCACCTGACTCCTGTGCCCATTTGGGCTGCGGCACGTGACTCTTCTCCTATTCAGCTCTTTGTAACGAAATTCCTTGAAGTGCTCTGGGGTCTTTTCCACTCTCCTTGTTCAACGAACACTCCTAATTTAACTGAGTTGATTCAGTCAATAATGTTTCATCTGCTACGTGACCCTGCGAACAGCCTACGATGCCTAATAACCTGCCACCGTCTGATCTCGAATTGTGTATACAGATTACCACCCCCACACATACAACCAGGCGAGCGAATAGGTCACCAACCTGTCAACCATGACAACCTTCGCGCACCACACACGCAACATCGGCGTTGCTCTTCTTCCGCACGCAGGCCATGGAAAAGGGACTTCCTGTCGTAAGGGTATGCTAGTTTGTTTTCAATTGCCCTGTGTCGTTTTTCCATAGTTGTCGAAGTCATGATTTTGTACAGTTTTGCATTTACTTAGCGCCACGCTTCTTCTAGGTCGCTTCCTACTCTATCTGTTGCAGACAATAGGCTTTTTCCATTAAAGATTGGATCAGCCGGAATGTGCTGCAAGTAGTCCTGGTGCACATGTTGTTTAGGCCACTGTCTTCCGGAGACTGGAGTGAGCCGACACGTGATCTAAATCTAGATTGTGAGGGTTATCCAGGGCCCGCTGTTCTAGAGTGCTCTTATTAACGTGTTACTGTCGCAAGGTATTCTGATAAAGACAGGGATGGCGGAATGAGATAGTGGCTGAACGCACTGTGGTCGGTCCCTGTGTGCGCAGCTGTCGATATATACCAACTGTAAGGCGCTAAA